ATTCCCCCAGATGCAAATTCACCTATTTCCTGGGTGTATATGTAAATAAATAAACTGTATATATTAGTTTAATTTCTTCTGTTTATTCTATGTTATTCTATGAATTTATTAAATATGTTTTACGTGTGAAGCATGAAGAAACTGCAGACTTACATTTCATTATGTGCTGCCTTGAGATGCCACTAAATCCTCAACACTGGATTCTGTTCCATCAAACTAAGACTAAAAGAATATACTGTACAATGTCTATTCATGTCAAAACTACTAATTTAACCTCTCCTGTCTCCTGCAGTGCCTTATTTTGAAGCCTCAATCAAACCACTGTTCATTGTGTAAAACCTACCGAACTGACGTCATTAGAATCAAATAGATTTTTACCTTCTGGCACCCTTCCTTTGTTAGTTATTTATTCACTTATATCAACTTGTATTCACTGCTTCTTACTGCTTTACCTGCTCTTGTTAACATAAAACAACTGAAGAAAATCAAGTATTAATCCACCTTTGCACACAAGAGTAAATACAGACATTTCAGTCTGCTGGACTGAGCCTCAACAATCTTCCCAGTTCCTCCCCAGAGGAAATGATACGGTGTTCTGGAGGGAAAGAGCTGTATGATATGGGCATTTTGTCTGGCAGTGCATCACAGACAGACTAATTGGTGCTGATTTAATAGCCTCTTAATGTCACTTGAAGGTCTGGAAACAGCTGCGATTATAATTGGCTCTGGGTAGACGAGCACGGGCCCGGGCAGGCAGACCACAGACCGCTGACCCCTCTGTCACGTCTCGACACGGCAGCAAATATGTGTGTGTGTGTGTGGGGAAGTTTGACTGCCAGGAGGCCACCAGACGTGAATTCAAGGGGTCACGGTACAAGACAGAGAAGAAGCGGAGAGAAAATCCCCATCAGCTGGTTGTGTGGGAGAGAGGCCGATGGGTGAGAGGGGGGAGAATAGATCTGACGACGGGTGCATCTGCACAGGATTACGGGGTCAACGGGGGAGACGAGGACCGGGAGTAAAGCTACTGCTAACCACATGCAGGATGATCGTCTCAATCTCAAAAAGCACATCCAGAAACATCCAATCTCCAGGTTTTCTTTCAGTCACAAAGGAAGAGTAACAGGTTCCACTGAGCTCTCCTTCCTCTTCGTCTCCTCTTCTAAAACTTGCAGCAACCACGAGAGCAAGAGCTGATCTACTATTCGGACTGACGGCAGCATTGATCTGCCCACAAGCGGGCTGATTGTGGGAGGCGGCGGCGGAGCCTGAAGGCGTCACGGATCAATTGTGCCGTCAAATCTAATGCAGTTTATAGTCGTTGCTTTTACTGTCGATGGAGTTCACAAGTAAAACTGAGACGCCACTGATGAATGGGAGCTTTCAATGCAGTTTAAATATAATCAATCTATTGTCACAAACATAGTCACACACAGCACAACGTACATGAATTTAACTCATCCTAAGAACTATTAAGGCAGTAAGTGTAAGTCACTTTTCCAAATAAGGTTTTTTTTAATAAAAAGTATAGTATAGTATAGTAATTTCTGCACTTAAATTAATCAATCAGACATTATTTATATACACAGGATGTTAAAAAGGATTCCTATTTGGGCTTTTGGTTTTGGGAGTCGTCCCAGCTCCGACTTTAGACTTCTGAAGTACATTAAAGGCACTATAACAGACAATAGACTCTTTTCAATTGTTATCCAGTGTTTTAGCATTAGCATAGCAGGCAGTTAAAGCAGGCGGCACATTTTCACATTTTATTCAAAGAAACAAGAGAGATTTTGATATTAAAATTGAGTTTTTGTACATTTTTAGGCTTACATTGTTAAATGGTGGTACGATATAACTGAGGACGCAATCTTAAAGTGTTAAAATGACATTTTGCATTTCACCTGGACTTAAAGAAACGTTACATTAGCAAACCAGTTTAAGGTTAATCCAATGTGTGAATGTCTTGTTTTTACAGTTTGTAAGTGTTTAAACAAATGAGATGTTACATGTTAATTATGGCGCTTTAGAGATGCTGGTAGGTGGATAGTATATATATATATATATTTAAAGAAACATAAGTGGAAAAGGTCGAGTGAAATGCTTGGAAACGGATGAAGTCTCAGGAGGATTTGTTCTTTTAAAAATAACTTATCAACCTGAAATCAATTTGTTCCATTTTGAGAGCTGAAAGGCCGCTCTCCTCCAGGAATGAGCGCGGCGTCTGGCTGCGGAGAGCTGAACAACTGCTGTGTTTGCTTTTCTAATCCCATTTCTAAAGGAGGAACACGACAGGTGTGCAGGCGGAGGAGATATTAATAAATCAATACTGGCTGGTGGCGAGTCCAGGTTAGAATAAATGTGATGTTTCTCTGAATGTAGCTCCTATTTACTGTGTGTTAATTAAGTGAGGATGGATCACACAGGAAATGACCTGTGGTTTTTAATACAAGAATAAAATCTGATATTACTTATAAATATTACATATTAAAACAGTTGTTAACTTCTCACCAAGCTGCTTGCTTATTTTCTTGCAGCCCATCCCAGCCTTCTACAATTTTGTCCCTGATGTCCTTAAACGGCTCCTTTTTCCTGCCCATGGTGGAAACGTTGATTGATTGTGTGGACAAGTGTCTTTTATACAGCTACATAATAAGTTACATATATTTATATATATTTTATATAAACAATCCGGGTGCAAACTGCTGTAGTGTCTAATACTGGGAGATATGTTCAAATCCTTCACATACTGTAGGGTTTCTGTTACTGCTGTTCAGCTTTGCACCAGTTCATTTGGATGTAAGGATACAAGAAGCTAAGTATTGAAAGTCAAGCACACAAAAAGAAATCCAGCACACGGATGTATTTTGTATTTTATCACAAAATCAAATCACTTCATTTACAACATTTGTCTTCAGGTATTTCTTTGGGTGAGAAATCGGAGCTGTTGGAGCTCAGTGGAGCTGACGTGTGCAATAATTTGAAAGCAGTCAAATTGTGTCCAGTCAGCGCCAGCGTGAAGTGCTTTATGGGTAATAATGGAGAACAGTGTCAGATCTGATTTTCTGCACACCACTCGCTGAAAGGTATGGAAGCCCGTTTCTGCCAATGTGACGGAAAAAAAAAAAGATTCTGTTGTTATAGTGAGAAACTCTCTCAATATTCTGACTTAATGACACAAAGCTGAGATATTAAGTCAGTATTTTAACATATTAAGTTAATATCTTTGTTATCAAGTCATTATTTTGAGATATTAAGTTAATATTTTGAGACATTTCTCATTATAATGACTAACGATCCTTTTTCTGGTCACTTTGGCAGAAATGAGCTTCCATAGAAAGGAGTGTTACTATAGACACGTATAAAATAAATAGAGTGCGTCAGCATTAAAGTTCAAACTGTCCACAGTGAGCTTTATTGAGCTCCCTTTGCCTTCTTATACTTTCTCATATGTGCCGCTATGGAGTTGCTGATCTCCACATTTGTTTTGTTTTGTCCAAAATACTCCACAAACTCCCCGTCGGGTCCAACGAGGTACATGATGATGGTGTGATCCACCTAAAAGACAACGAGAGGTGGCGTTCAGACAGAGATTTCCTTTATTACCTCGTCATTACAAGAGAGCAGCTTTTAACTCACAATGTAGTCGTTGTCTTCATCCTTTGGTCCCTCACTGTAATAAACTCTGTAGGCTCTGGAAACCTCCTCAACCTGAGCTCTTGTTCCCGTCAGGCCGATCAGCTTCGGGGAAAACTCTGAAAAAGGATATTACAGTGTGTATCTATTAGACTTAATATACAGATAAATACTGTGGTTAAATAATGTAAATTAATTAAACAGATATTTGAGGATAGTTATTGGTATTTTGGTGTGACTTCCTGAGAACATTTCTCTCTTTTTATGGCAGAACTGGGTTCTCTCACCTCATTTTAACATAGAAATACAAATAATTAAACACAAAATTACATTTATTCTACTACTAATATATGACGAAATGGGACAAAGAGTGGGTAACGCCATCGAAAGAGTGAAGAGCTGTGGTTTTTAACAAGAATTAAATGTAATACAGCTCTCGTACAAATATTACATATTGAAATGTTCATCTTGAAATGATCAGCTTTTTTTCACTCAAAATGTGGAAAAACTAACACATAAGATTTCATATTTTAGAGATCTCTCTAATCTATCTTGATACCTGTGGCCCAATAACAGCAGTGAAAGTATTCAGATATTTTATTTTAGTAAAAGTAATAAAACTGTAGTGAAAACAGTAAAAATAGCCAACCAAAGATGAAAATTAATTACTTTTCTACTTTATTATTCTACTTTTCTGTTGTTATTCCTTCATATACATCAGATTATGTGCAATGTCTTAAACATGCTCTGGTGTTGAGGTGGAAAATTACAAAAATACAAGCTTATAGAATCCTTTGATGCTTTATAAAAACATTATATCCTGTTACTGTCCGTCTCCTATTATGTAAAGAGGAAAAATCCATCACATGCCTGGGAGCATTGTTGTTGTTGTTGTTGTTGTTGTTGTTGGACATTTAGTTTTAAATTTTAGGCGATGTTCTGCACTTGATGGGTCAGTTTATTTAACGGCCAATGAAATGAGAAAACTACCATTTATAAACATGTTTTTATTTTCAGAACCAAATACAGGAAACCAGCTGTTTACCCCCCGACTACCATTTCTACATACGGGAAACAAAGAGGGACATTTTTTGTTTTTTCATTTCAAAATAAAAACCTGTTGGCCATAAAGTAAACTGACTGATGCTCCTCCTCCTGAAACACCTGCAGTCACACACACACTTCCACGTGCGGACAGCTGCCATTTATACCGAAATAATCACCTTAAAAACACTTAAAGTTGTTTGTCGCAGTGAAACAGTCGATCTCAGGCTCAAACTGCGCTCTTACAGTTAAATGTATAAAAATGTAAAATAGTGTAAATTCTGCTGATTCAACCCGATTGATGAAACCACATCGTACTCCGTATAGAAAACCGACGTGGTCGTGTGGTTTTACCTTTAACGTACGCAGCCATGGCCTCCGGCGTGTCCCTCTCAGGATCGATGGTGATGAGGATCGGCGTCAGGTTCGGAATAGGCTTTATGTTATCTGTGGAACAAACAGAGAACGTGAAGAACGCTTGAGAAGAACGAGGATACCGGGACATGAACCTCTCGTGTCAAACGGTTGCGTTCACCTATTTCGTCCACCACTTCGATCATTTTCTCCAGCTCGTCCGGGCAGATGTCGGGACAGTGGGTGAACCCGAAGTAGATGAGGACCCACTGGCCGAGGAAGTCCTCGCTCTTGGCGGGTTTGCCGTTGTGGTCGATGAGCGAGAACGGACCGCCCAGCGCCGGTCGGCCGATTGATTTGTTCCGTTCTTTTTCGATCACTGCGAAAAGATTAAAAGGTTTATTCATTCAGGCGTCTTCATCGCTTGATTTCACTCGACCTCCGCGTGCACACAGGAATACTCACGCTCTTCCTTTTCCTTCTTGAAGTACTTCATCGCTCCGAGCAGAGAGCCTCCGATAGCAAACGTTATCGCTAAAGATTTCCACGTCACCGGCTGTTAAAGAGGGGAGAGAGAGGATAAAATCAGAGGGGAATCTTTCAGCTTGTTTGGGTTTATTCCAGCTAAAAATCTGACAATCTGTTCGCCGTTTTCCTCCCAGACTGAAGCAGATGTTCAGATAATGATGAGTTCAGAGATTTCCCTCTCTAGCAAACTCTGAGGAGGTTTTGTTAATAGAGAGATCAGAGTGAGATTATTTAATGTGTAAAACTGTAGAGATTCTCTCTGCGGTCAAGCTCAGCTCAAACCCTGCTCAGTTATTTAATTATTATCTAAATAGCAAATTATCACAGCGTTACTAAAGAAGAAGGGAACCCAGGGAGTGGAGCAGCTTCAGCCAAATCCAAGCTAGAAGAGAACTAGGAACAAAGAATGGACAATAAAAACACAAAACCTAAATAGATAGAAATACTTTATTTATCCCCGAAAGGAAATTTTTATTAGTCCTCTTCTGAACCTGGCAGCGTAATACCTACAGGCAAGAGGCTCGGACTCTTTAACACAGAGCTGGTCCAGTACCACCTACAACGGGATCAGGATCTAACAGGCTGTACAATTAATCGAAATATTTTCTTATGTGATAAAAATATTATCTTATGTAAATGTATAACTTATGTGATAAAAAGTAAAGATTATTGGATAAAATGTCCAAATTATGAGCTAAACAGTTGAAATTAGGGGATAAAAGACATAATTATGCAATAAAAAGTCAAAATAGAAGATAGAAAGTTGAAAATTATGATTTTTGAAAATAAAAGTACGAAATTATGAGATAAAAAGTCTGAATAGAAGATAAACAGTTGAAATTATGATATGAAAGTAAAAATTGTAAATAAATGATGGGATAAAATTAATTATTATTAATTATTGTGACATTAGATCTCTGCTGTTAGAGTCGAACTGACACAATATTCTCTTCAGAATAATCAAGAGAGTCTCTTTCTATATTATCAAATATATGGCCAAGTGCATTATCCAAATCACATTAGCTTAAATATTTATATATATATATAAAAAAAAGGTAAAATATGTGACAAACAGCATTATAAGGAAAAACTGTAGAGATAACGATGGTAACCAAACATGTTTGTTTGGTACGGACCTCCACAAATTTGAGTCTTTTTCTTCAGTGAAAATTAAAAATGTGATGCAAAAATTATCATTCCTGCTTTTTTTGTTTTACCATATCGTGCAGCCTCACTTACGGAAGCCCATTTGTGCCAATGTAATAGAGAAAATAAATATTCTGTAAGTCATTATAATGAGAAAGTTCCTCAATATTTTGACTTTGTGACACTATGTCATTACTTTTGATACGTTTCTCATTATAATCACTTTTGTGACATTGGCACAAATGGGCTTCCATACCTATGAAGATAGAGTTATATATATTTTGATGCCACTTACCCCAGACTTCTTGGTCTTATCTCCTTTTGAGGGCGGTGGAGGTAAAGAGGAAAATGCTCTTGAGGACTGTTCATACAAGCGTTGAGTTGTTCTGTAGGTGTGCCACTGACTCACATTCACCTGTTAAAGAATAAACACAGGGGAGGAAAAAAAAGAGAGATGTGGTCAGAGTTAGAGGCTTGACTGAAAATCATCTTACGCCAAACTCCATTCAAAAATTTGCCAATTTAAGGCGGCGTTGCAAGGTGGCGAGGCAGGTGGCGTAATTGGAGATGTTTTTTTAATTATTTAGTGTTTTTCAATCAAAACAACTACATCGGCTCTCGTTTCACTGTGTATACAGCTGTAGAAATGTCTAATAGTGTGAAATAACTGTGGTAAAGTCGTGTTTTAATGTCAGGTTGAACTTTAATTAGAGTTACGTGGTGGGTTGCACGTTCGCCACAGTGACAGGTGATTATAAAATGACTCTTATAAAAGTCGTGTTTCAGTTAACAAGCACGGCGAGTTAACTTGCCAAAACGGCTAAATTGGCACTTTTCTGAATGGAGTTTGGTGTGAGCGCTGATGCGGACAGAGAGCTTTGACCTACCGGGCAGCAGCGCACTCTCTGCGGGCACAGCGTGTGTTCGAGTCCCGGTTCTGTCCGGTAAACACTGTGAACGAGTCTGACATTCTGGGTCCGAGTGCACTGTGGTAAGACGTTAACGGTACCGGGAGACAACCGGCGGCCCAGGCTGCGGTATAAGACCCTCAGAGCCATGTTTGGACCTTGACGCGGAAGCGGCTTCCCGGTTTACAAAACGTGAGAAGCGACGTGAGATACCAACGGCTGGTCTGGGGTCAGTTCTACACATGCGCGTTGGCTCACTGTTGAACGTTCTACGCAGAGAAGGCTGCTCTCAGATCAGTGTCCGTGTAGCCGTTACCAAACACAGGAAATGACGTGTTTTTACAGCTTCTTCTGTCGTCGCTTCCGCTCTCTGCTGCCCCCTGGAGGGCGGGAAAATATTGTTTTAAAGAAAATCAAATAAACATTTTATTTTGTTTTTGTGAATATTGTAAGGTAAAAATAGGAAATTATAAGATAAAAAGTCAAAATGGAAGATAAGAATATGAAATTATGGGACAAAAAGTAAAGATTATGAGATAAAATGTCCAAATTATGAGCTAAAAAGTTGAAATTATGGGATAAA